AGAGAAAGGAAAAATTAACACATAAATAAATGAATTCTTTAAATAAACAAAATCAGATCAAACCAAAAGGCAGAAATGGCTCAAATCTTGTTCTTGTTAGTGTTTTTATTCAGAAATGTGGGCATATTTTTATTTAGTACTTACAGTGCACTGCCAGTTCATATTGTCCCAGTGATTTTAAAGGTTTTATATCACACAAAACTGACTCTTGTGAGCTTTAAGTCATGTTTTGTTGTTTCCTCATGACAAAAAAAAACTAGAGTTGTTTCATTCACACATTTGATTAATTCTTTATTATTCGTCTGTCATTTACAAATCTCAAAACGCTCTGTTCCAGGGCTTAAATCCATCATGAACCCAAATGATTCTAGAGTTTAAAAACACACTTGCCACGTTTACATGGGAGCTTTAATTCCGAATAAAAATAATTTAATTCTGAATAAAAATTACTGTAATTCAGCTTTAAAAAAGACCATGTAACCACTTAATTCCTAATGAAAATGATTATTTGGAGTTCAACTTAATTCTGAAGTAAGTGGCTGGTTTATTCCGATTTTAAAGCCGAATTAATTTATTCCTCGATCATCTAAATGTTTATTCTTCTTGAAAATAATTTGGGTCGTTCAGCGCATGCTCGTCGTTATAATCTCCTCAAAAACAGACCTGGAGTTGTTTTGTTTCATTCACACATGTTTGAGAAATTCTGCATTATTATTCTGTCATCTCCAAAGCTCAAAATGCTCTGTTTCACCTTGTGATGTCACGAAGAAGTCGTTAAAAGAAAAACCTTTTACATTTAGTTCAGTACTTTTCGGAAATTCCAGGTCTTAAATCCAACATGAACCTCAAATGGATTCTAGTGAAGGTGTGTGGAGTTTAAAAACACAGTTGACACGTTTACATGAGAGCTTTAAATTCTGAATAAAAATAAGTTCATTCTGAATAAAAATTGATTCTGCTTTAAAAAAGACCATATAATGAAACAAATATGTACCTTATTTTCCGGATTATAAATCACTCCGGAGTATAAGCCAAAAAACACACAATGAAGAAGAAAAAGACATATATAAGTCTTTTTATAAAATCAGAGACCAGGAACCGACATTTTATCTTGAAAGTGAAGTTATATAGAACAGAGAACAACAGACTGAACAGGCGTTAATATGTTAATGTAACATATGAACAGTTCTTCAGATAAACTATAACATAAACAACAGAACAGAACAAGTTTAACAAACTCTCCATCTCACTCCAAATCACTAAATCCATTCAGTTCTTCATCCTCGGTGTCACTTCTGAACAACTCCTCGACCTCCGGAGGTAAACAGAGCGACGCAAACTCTTCTGTGTCGCTGTCGTCAGACTCAGCATCAGTTCCAGTTAGAATTATTCGGGTCTTTCTGAATCCCGACAGGATGGTTTCGGTGTCACTGAAGTCCAGGCTTTGTCCATCCATCCAGTGACTTCAGGAAAGTTTCATGGTGCCTCCTCCCAGTTGTCGTGAAGCTGTGTTCTCCATCCCCACTTTCCATCAGTCCCTCACAAGTTTCACACTCAATCCAAACTTTTTCTGCTGCTCGTTTTCCGTTTTCGGCTGAATATTTCACAACTTGCAGCGAGACAGAGGCTCTTTATACAGGAGACATGTGCAGTAGAGTGAAGTGACAGTGGTACAGGAGTAATAGTACTAGATACTGACACACAAGACTAGAGCCTCTAGACCAGTGGTGTCAAACTCATTTTGGTCCGGGGTCGTATCCAACCTAATTTGATCCCAAAGGTCCGGATCAGAAAACTCATGTCATATAAACTCCAAAAATAACAATAAGTTCAAATATTTGTGCAGAGAAATGCAAATCTATTGCAGAAATCTTTTTTAATTGATGAACTGTTTCTTTTACAAAATATTATAATATTATGAACAACCTGAAACTTTAAGAAAAATGCAATTTCAACACAATGTTTTAAAACATTGAACTTGTTTGCAAATAGAAAATAAGTCAATTTTTGTTGTAAAATCCTGCACTCGGCTCCACTTTTCTCATGTTGGACATTTTTCTGATGAGGGTGTCACGGTCAACAGTCAAAACGATCGTCCTTTAAGAGCGTTTGGAAAGAGACAAGTCTTCATTTGTGCTGCTCTGGTGGGAGGGGCCACGTACAGAGACGCTGGAGACGCTGCTGTGATAAACACCACAGAAAATTAACAAGATTTTAATAAAAAATATAATTAAAATATTTGAGTAGAAAATCAGCCGAGGGCCAGATTAAAGGACTTGGAGGGCCGGATCTGGCCCCCGGGCCGTATATTTGACACCTGTGCTCTAGCGGCTGTCAATCTGAAAATTTTAATATATAAGTCGTACCAGAGTGTAAATCACAGGAAACACTCAAACCATGAAAAAAAGTGCAACTTATTGTCCGAATGAAAAAGATTATTTGGAATTCACCTTAATTCCAAAGTAAATGGGTGGTTTATTCTGATTTTTAAGCCAAATTA